TGAATTTGTCTAGTAACCTAGAGAGAATTATTTAGTAACCTAGAGAGAATTATTTTGCATCTCTTTAGGCTGGACTCAGTTAAAAAACTGAACCAGTCCAGTCAGAGGAGGCGTGGCCAGCAATTTGCATAACTCAATCTCAAGGCTAATGGACAAATTTAACCCATGCTTGGATTCCCCAAGCAGCTCACAGGAGCTTTCATTTAAAACAGGGGCCCACAAACTCTTCTGCTCATTGATCTCTTCAATGAGGTTTCAGATGGTTCATTCACCCCCAACATTTATTATATGAACATGCAATAAATACAATGTTAAACCAGAGAATGATAAATAATAATAATCAATAATCCCATTGATTTTTGGAGGTCAATATTGATCACTGGGGAACTCTCATTTAAACTGGGTGGCCTAAACAAGGATAAGGAATGTTGCTACACTACATTTTCTAAGAATTGTAACTAGTATGGCCTGTAATGAGGCATGATGGGGGATATAGCTCAAAAATATCCAATAAAAATGCAATTCTTCACTTCTGAGTTAAAAAACAAGCAATCAAAATCACCAGGCATGAATTTCTTCCTCTCAAGAGCAAAGACGACCTGCAACTCTGGGTTAAACTGGTGGGTTTTGGGTTTTCTATGAGCTCAATTGTGCTCCTCAAATGTTTTTGTTAACTATGCACTGATGTCATCTAGCCTAGTTACAAAACATTTTCAGGAAAATGACCAATCTCAGAGAACACCAAGAACCTAACACGCCGTGGCAGTGCAGTAGTTAGGGTGCAGTACTGCAGGCTACTTCTGCTAACTGCCAGTTGCCTGCAATTTGGCAGTTCAAATCTCACCAGGCTCAAGGTCGACTCAGCCTTCCATCCTTCTGAGGTGGATAAAATGAGGACCCAAATTGTTGGGGGCAATAGGCTGACTTTGTAAACCGTTTAGAGAGGACTGTAAAGCACTGTGAAGCAGTATATAAATTTAAGTGCTATTTCTATTTCTTCCTTCAAAAAGAATTTTTGCTACCCTTAAAGCAAGGATTACTTGCTTTAATATTTACTTCCATAGCAAGGAAAGGTAGACCTTGTCACTGTTGCTCATGTAGTATGCATTTTCCCTTTCCACTAATTAGGGATGCTTCAGTGAGCAAATTTAATGACATGATCAATTCAACCAAACGTTCTCTCCCAAGCACACAGCAAGCGAGCTAGTTGTTCATACTTAGTGTAACCGTTGAGGCAGGCCTTTTGCATGGCATCAATGGTGTAGCGCAAGAACTCATGAGCATCCTCCTGACTCCCGAAACGGAAGTGCCGTGCAATCTCTGCCAAAGGAGATAAAAAGAGAACACCTCAGAACAGTATCAGAAACAGAGGTCACTATTGAACCCAGCATGGAAGCTCAAGAGGTTTTTCCTCATAAACTGACCACCACCAAAACCAAACTCTGCACCTAGCATATCTACAAAAAATGTTGGAAAGTAAAACAAAAAGTAAAATATGGTAAAAAAATGTTTGTGAAAGAGCCAGTTTGGTCTAATGGCTAAGGCAATAGGCTAGACTGTTGAGTTCTAGTCCAGCTTTGGCCATGAAAGTCAGATAGGTTGACCTTGGCCAGTCACTCTCTATCAACGCAGCCCACCACACAGGGTTGTTGTTGTGGGGCAAAATAAGAGGAGGAAAGCTTGTTGGATTATTATCACTCCCTCATTTGTAAAAATATAAATAAAATAATAAAAAATAAAAAAATTCAGTTTCACCCTTACAATCTTTGAGGCGTGTTCAGTTATATCTTGAAAAATCCTGAAAAAGAGCATCTTTGGACCATAGCCACTGATGGCTGACATGTCTTACTGCTTCACTTTGTAACCATAAGTTCTAGAAATCTTGCTTTAAAAAAAAAACATTCACACACGAAAGTATTTAAGTTATGGTCAACATCTCAAAAGGATCACTGGTCTTTTGCCCTGTACGAATTGGACAGGTAGAGAGTATTCCAACCCCCTGCTTACTTTTAAGATCTCTGATGAAGGACACAGGTTTGATGGCATTACCACTATTGGCAAAAGCCTGGATCATGTGATTCTGCATTATGCACATCATGCAGAAGCCTCCCTGGTGACCTGGAAGAGGGGGGAAAAATCACAATTGGCCATTTTCATCAATAGCTATGTTATAAACGTTCCATTGTATCATATATATTTTGCTAGAAGCAAAATAAAGTTAGAGCCTGCATTTGAAACCCTCACTTTACTGAAATAGCTTACCTATTGATTTGTGATCAGACTTATATGGACCATCAATCAGTCTATCCATCCACCCATCCATCCATCCATCCATCCATCCATCCATCCATCCATCCACCTTGTCTCTTTTTCTCTTTCATCTGCTAGCTAAAGGCCATAATAACAATATACATTGATAATATGGACAGTTTAATGACTTCCTATCCTGAATCCTTCTCTGCCACATACCTGTAAATCTCAACACAATGCTACTCGTTAAGCAGCTCAGACAAGTAAACACTACTCAGACAAGGGGAAACATTTCTAAAGTATGTGCATTAAGCTGCAAAACGATCCTTGCTGCTATTTAAATAGCTTGTTTGAGTTTTAAAACAAAACCACCAAAGCTGCCATCTACCTACCTCTACCTAGTCATAGATGTACACTCTCCAACTAAGAGTCAGTACCACTAGTAAGGAAGGGATGACGTAGTGAGGAAAGTAGCTCTTATCTAACCCTACAGCTGGCTCAAGACCTTCACAGCTGCTAACATAATCTGCCAGTCTCCCATCACAAGGATTGATGCAATGAAAAGCAACTGCTGGCTGGAACGTGATACAGCACCGCATGTGGGCTAACCTTGGATTACTCACCCTTCCCCTACCCCCACAAGCCAAGAAAAACCCACCCATTAAGCTCACACAACACTGCAGGCCCATTAAAGGTAGTCCTCAACTTACAACAATTCATTTGTGACCGTTCAAAGTTGCAAAGGCATTGAAAAAAGTGACATATGATCATTTTTCACACTAGTGACCATTGCAGCATCCCCATGGCCACTTGATTTACACTCAGATACTTGACAACCTGTTCATATTTATGACGATTGCAATGTCCTTCAATCATTACCTTTTATGACCTTTTAACAAGTAGTCAAGGGGGGAAGCCAGGTGCACTTAACAACTGTGTTACTAATTTAACAACTGCAGTGATTCACCTAACAAATATGGCAAGAAAAATCATAAAAGGAGGAAAACTTCACTTAACAAATTTCTCACTTAATGACATATGTTGGGCTCAATTGTGGTTGTGAATTGAGGACTACCTGTATTACAATTGGGTTCAAAATAATTCTTTTTCACAAGAAGCACTGCTCCTAGATTACAGTTACAGAAATCAAAGGGCCCAGTAATGGAACATAGCCAAATCCTAAACAAAAAACCTCAAATGCAGCAGAATCTAACATCACAGCCTAACTTATATAACATTTTCTTAAGAGAAAACTACTTAATATACTTCCTAATGTCTTAAACACATTGAGATCCTTTATATGTAAGTCTGAAGCATAACCTCATATATGATATTGGAAAATCCCAATGTTTTCCTCAAAACACTATCAGAATAGAGGAATCAGAAATTTGTAACTATAAATTGTAGAGCAATTCAAAAAATAAGCTCCGATCGAAGTGGAGGGGGAAGATTTCCACGACAAATGGGCAGAATTATAGAATTTTAAATTATATTTTGGAATAAATAACATCACCATCATCTGAAAAACACTTCTGAATGGTCAAACATTTTTACCTGCCTCATCTTGCTATGATCCTTACTACAAGCCTGTAATGTAAAAGAGCATAACTTCCTCCCACAATGCATGGAAGATTAACTCCAATTGGGGATCCTATGCCCATGGGATTAATGGGATGGTGGCAGAAGCAAAACCAGGCATAATTTTCTAGTTTTGGGGACAGTAATTCTGCCTGCATCGATGCTCTAAAAGTAATAATGAGAATGAGAAAGGAGTAGCTTACCAGAAGCAGCCCTGAATCCATCCGATCCCTTCAAATTCCCTCAACACACACTAAAGGACACACACAAACAATGAACCCTCTAAACGCCTCATTCCCTGACCATTCACCTTCCTTGGGCTGCTCCGCCAGCCATAACCTTATATTTTAAGAACTCCATCCTTCAGAGGCCTTGGAAAATGAAACAGGTTATTCCTATAGCCTATGCTCTAAGGGGAAAAGAGATATGAACAAGTGGGCGCATACAGCACGGCAAAACACACACAAACTCAGCCACACACTTACAATTGCGACTGTGCTCCTTGGAAAGCAGATAATTTGCTAAAGGTGGGGTGTACGTCAGACACTGTAGAGTTGAGTTTAGGAAGCAGGTGTTGCCCAGGTTGTGGAGACCAGCTCCAACACGGTACACCCGCTCCCATTTTAGAGAGAGTCGCTCCAGAGGGAAGAGGACCTTTTGGGGAGCTGGCACCCCATCACTTCCCGACACATGCTCATTACCTGTCGGAAGAAAAAAGGAAAAGTCAGCAACTCAAAAACAAATGAAGAACTCGTTCTCCACAATCCCATCTCAGGGGAATGTGATTAAGAAAATCTTAGACTGTGCAGAAATGGATACATTACCACTTGCTAATAAGGATAAAGATGACGTGGAATACTTTTCGATATGGGACATATTTTATCAATGGCTAAATAATAGAAGTTGGAAAGGAGGAGATGCAACTGGAGGAAATGGTAAAGATGATGTTAAATATTAATGTTACAGTACTGTTATATTACTAATATGATGACAAGGAATTATATCAACAAAAATGTATAATATGATTACTTAAGCACAATTGTACCCAGAACACACACTATTCGATGAAAATTGGATGTTATAAAAATAAAATAAAACTTGGGGGGTGGGGGAGAACTCCAAAAGACAAGTACAACAAACGAGGCAGGCACCTTGTTTTCGTATGGGTCCCTCTTCAGAGCTCTTGTGCCGACTGCAGTTTTCTGTCCTCGGGTTCAACAAAACGTACTTGCTCTTGAGGGTCTCCAGCTGGTAGGAGAAGTTTTTGGAGGCGGGTTCAAACTCAATCTTTTGCAGCAAAATCTTCTTGGCAGAAGCTGCCAACAATTTACCCAGTTCAACATCGTCAGCAGAGTCTTTTCGCCCAGGCTTTAGGGCTTCTTTTAATTTGTCCACTATTGGCATGGTGCATCACTTGGTAAAGGCAACAACAACCATCCTAGCAAGGCAACTTCACTATGCCAAAAAAAAAAAAAGGTTATTTGACCTCAAATTCAAATGCCTCCAGCTCAGCCCTCTTTTCTATGTACTGTAGTAAACATCCACCCTCAAATATGTTATTGAAACAATCAGATAGTCTTTCTTTTTGTACTTCTATTTTGCTTCCCGTGTCACTCATCTTCCTATACTGAATATGGATTTTAAGGACTGGGCAGGTACCTTTTTAAATTACCATGAACTTTATGATGCTTTAGAAATCATGATCAACATGAATTTGGTTTCCACAACACAGCTTCTGTTAAAAAAAAATCTAAAACCAATCTATCTTTAGATTAATTATCTAATCTTTATAAACAATCAGGTAAATCCAAAGCACATCTGTAATTCAGATTTCCCAACTGTAAAATTTCAAATAGAAATGCATGGCAATAAATATATACTATCTATTAAGGTACAAGAATAAAATTCCCATGACAAAAACTAGAAATGCACTAATTTGAAAGGCAGGATAGGATAAAAACTTTTCGCATTTCTGAAAAGCCTAAAATTTTACCTACATTGTTAAGGCCTTTATTGTATTCTTTAGCATCTCATTGCTCCTTGGATCCAAAATTCTCTACTCAGAAAACAGATTTTTCCCCCCAAAACCCAACAAAGGATTAGATTATATAATAGCTTTTGCTGCATGTGAGGGCTCTAGATGTACTTTCACGTTGCTTTGCAACTAACTGGAAATTAACTTGTAAATGATGCATTTCTGTTCTCTGAACTGACTGTGCTCTGGAACATGCAATTCACATTATAGCCTTTAATGAGGTGTGAAATTTGCTTAGTCTTTAGACAGATAAATTAGCAGCCATAGCAAGAAATATAAATAACATAAATAAATAAAAAGGCTCACAACTATTATCTGACCATTTCCTGGATTGCCTTGAAATTTGATTGGCAATAGTTTTACTTCCCATTAAGAAACCTCAAGGGTCCCTACTAATAGAAGATTAAAACATGCTGCCAGGATGAATGGATGAATTTTTCTTATAACAGGCCTTGCTGAAGGAAAAAAATCATATAGCACTCTGTTTTTGAAGGAAAGGGGGTTTGCATCATGTGTCTCTTTTGGGGGGGAACCAGGTATTTTTCCAGAGGATATATATTTATATATAAATGTACATGGCTGTATACATGGCATTCTATCTCACACAAACATTAAATTGTACTATTATCTGAACATTTGCACCTCCCTAAAATAAACAAGGTCAGGAAAGTTTCTTCAGTCTAACTTGCTTCAAATTTGCCACCCACATTTCCCCCCCCCCCATTCTCCCATTAGAATATAGAGGGATCACACTTATCTAACAAAACAGTCTCCCACACCTGGGATCTTCTAGATGTGCTGGATTACATCACATAATTTCTGGCTAGATGGGCAATTAAGTGCAGCATACCTGGAGGGCACCAGGTGTCCTATGCAAAACAAATCTCACCCAGTGGCAGCATCTAATGGGGCAGCCAAGGGCACACAAGATATGGGTGGTAGGGGAAACAGCATCGGAAGTTGGGGGGAGGGAGGAGCAGAGGTGCAGGTGCATTCTTGCACCTGAGAGCATGGTCAGGAGAACTGAATCATCGGGGAGAAGAGAATGTCACTGGGTAGCCTGGAAGCAAACCTCTCCAGCTTGCAGCCTCCCGAAGCTATTCTATCCAAGATGAAAGGGAGGGAGGGAGGAACGAGGTTGCTCTGTGAGATAACAGGCCAAAATGAGCCCAAGGTTTAGCAAAAAGACAATACTGCAAGGAACCAGCAGAAAAATCCCAGTTCGAAGGGCGAAATGCTTCGTCTACCCTCCTCCAATCTGTTCGAGAGAAGAGACTCAACTTCAAATTCAATGCTTGGAATGCACTGCCTGATTCTGTGGTTCCTTCCCAAACCCCCCAAAACTTTAACCTTAGATAGCCAACAGTGGACCTCACCCCATTCCTAATAGGTCTGTAAAGGGGCTTGCATAAGGACACCAGCCTGCCTACCGTCTCTGTCCTACTGTCCCCATGTATTCGTAAACCATTTCATGTATCCAAAATCATGTCTATACATATGTTTTCTAATACGAAATAAATCAAAAATAAATAAACTCTTTTCTCCTTTCGCCTTCTGTCCTTCCCCACCTCCCTTCCTTTGCAAGGAGCGCGCGCGCATTAGACCCATCAGCCACAGCATGTGCCTAGAGAGTGTTTGGGGTAAGCCACGCGCAGCCCCCTTCCCCCCACCCAACCAGACACGCTCTTCTCTTCAGCCCAGAAAATCCTTAGCCGAGATTAAGCAGGCGGCCCCCACAGCAAAAAACCCAAGGCGCTCCAGAGCCTCCGGCGTTCGTGCAAGGGCACCTACAGGCAGGGCCTGGGCTCGCAGCGGAAGAGGAGGCTCCTCCTTGGCACGGCCCCGATTCTCCGGGTGCGCCACGGGGATCCGAGTAGAAGTCGCTCGCCCTGGCGCCGGGGACCATTCGCCCAAGCAGCCACGGCCCAGAGGGAGCCGAAGGAGGGCTGCGCAGGAATAGCCGCGGTGCCGAAAAGGGGCAGAAGGGAAGCGGCGGGGGAAGAGTTACGCTGCAGGGCGAGTCGGACTCCAGAGGATCGTTCCCCGCCAGTAGAAAACACCCCGTGGGCCAAGCCGTCTCCGTTGCACCGGCCCTCGCGCTCCTCCTCCCTCCTCATTCCGACCTTTTTCCACTCACCATCCGGAGCGGTCTCTGCGCTCCTTACAGCGTGTGTGCGCATACACAACACGTGTCCAACGTAGCGCAAAGGAAAGGGAGACAGCGCAGCTGCTAGGCCGCGAAGCCAGGCCCCATCCGCCTCCTGACGGGGCGGGGAAAGGAAAGGCAAACCCTTCCCGGCCTGTTCTGACGTAAGTCTGCCCCTTCGCATGTTTCCGGGAGGCAGCGCCGCCTGGCTGAGTCGTCTTTGGCCCAAGCAAGTGGTGAAGCGGTGGCTTTGCCTCGTAGGCAGCAGAGGCCGCTGTGTTCCCTCATCCCCTCGCTTTGCTAATCTTTGGAATAAAAATTGTGGCTTGTCCGACTCTCTTGAGCCGGTCTACCATAAGATTCCATGTTCAAGGACATCCCTATTAGTACCATTTTATAAAGTACCGCTTTATAACCAATTAACCAATGGAACAACTTCCCTGCAGAAATTATGAATGCGCCAACACTGGAAGATTTTAAGAAGAGATTGGATGGCCATTTGTCTGAAATGATAGAGGGTTTCCTGCCTGAGCAGGGGGGTTGGACTAGAAGACCTCCAAAGTCCCTTCCAACTCTTATTCTATATTCTACAACTCACTACGGCCCATTCGCAGCAGGACAATTTGGCACCGCCAACTTGCTGTGGAACAACTTGCCACTGGACAAGACTTACACTAACATCGAAGAAATAGTGGAACACAGGTAGTCCTCGGCTTACGACCGCAATGGAGTCCATAATTTCTGTTGCTAAGTGAAACCCTTATTAAGTGAATTTTGCCCCATTTGATGACCTTTCTTGCCACAGTTAAGTGAATCATTGCAGTTGGTAACACTGTGGTTCAATGAACCCATTGACTTTGCTTGTTAGAAGGCCAACAAAGTTGATCACAGGACCGTGGGACACTGCAGCCGCCCTAAATATGAGTCAGTTGCCAAGCATTTGAATTTTGATCACGTGATCTTGAAGATGATGCTATAGTCATACTTGCGAAAAATGATTGTCACCTTTTTCAGTGCCGTTGTAACTTGGAATGGTTACTAAATATAATGTTGTAAGTCGAGGATTACTGTAGAATCATTAAAGGATGCCAAAGGAGGGACAAAATGAAATGTGAATGACAAAATTTAAAATAATTTTTAAAATAATTTTAAATAATTGAATTGTCCCGGAGCAAGTTATCCATGGCAAGTTGGCCGGTGGAAAGTTGTCCATGGTGAGTTGGCCACAGCAAATTGGCTGTGGTGAGTTGTCCCATTCAGCTCTTGAGCACCACTGAAAAGGGAGGGAGGGGAAGGTGGGAGACTCTGGAGGCAGCTTCAGGTTCTTAACCCAGCACAGAACTGATCCACGACAATCCAATTTAAGTGACCGCACATAGCAGTGATCAGAGAATCCGTCATTAGGATTTTAGGCAACACGGGGTGAATAGTTCTCTTTTGAAGCCAAAATTTATTCTTTGTGTGATTTTATTCCCAGATATCTGAATCTGGTTAGGGTTAGGGTTTAGCTGGGCCAAATCAGCTTATAAATATTTATGCCGGGGAGAAAAGTTAGTACTGGAGAAGTTATTTAGAGTTGTGAATAGCAGTGGTGAACCCTCAACCCTTTTTGATAATCCAATGGACTCTTCTAACTCCATAAGGTACTGTATGTAAAGAGCTTCAATTGGAAATGTGCAGTCAGGGCATAAACAGAAATTGTTTCTGTATCTCTGCTGTTTAGGGATCATTTCAATATTCCAGCTCTATGAACCTTGTTGGGATTTGGGGTGATGTACCTTTGAGTCTTGACTCCTGGTAACTGCTTGGACAAGTCTGTGCAATTTCTTGGCAAGATTTCAGGAATAATTTGTCCTTGCCTCCTTCCAAGAGCAGAGGGAGGGTGACTGGCTCAAGGTCACCTAGCTGGAGAACTGGTAGTGGAAATTTTGAGTAGTTCGGAGAACCAGTAAATACCACCTCTGACTGGCCCCGCCCCATCTATTCTCTGCTTCCTGAATCCCAGCTGATCGGGAGGAAATGGGGATTTTGCAGTATCCTTCCCCTGTGTTGTGGTCTGCCAGCGGCTTGCGGAGCTCGCAGCAGAGTCAGACAGTGAGGAGGTTGGGGAGGAATATGAGCCAGTCCTGGAGTCTGGGGAAGGCTCTGCAGAGGGCTCTGTGTCAGAGGCAGAGAGAGGGCCAGGGCCATCTGGGAGTTATGTGCTGTCTCCAGAGTCTCCAGAG